ATTACATATGTACAAATCATCCCAATCTTTAAGTACATCGTTTCATTCCAGAGGTATAAGGACATCCCAATAAATTCATAAGAAAAATAGTACTTACATCCACACTACTTCAAATACAATTCATTTGTTCTCTAAAGTTTTTTCAATTTATTTGGGCCTAAGTAATATAATTCAAATACACATTTTAAGTTATAGGCTTGTGCAAATACATATGTACAAATCATCCCAATCGTTATGTAGATAGTTTCATTCCAAAGTTATAATAAACATCCCAATAAATTCGTAAGGTCCAGAGTACTTGCATCCTCACTACTTCAAATAGAATTCATGTGTTCTCTAAAGTTTTTCTAATTTTAAGGGCCATTCGTAATATAATTCAATTACACCTTAAGTTACAGGCTTATGCAAATACATATGTACAAATTATTCCAATTGTTATGTAAATCGTTTCGTTCCAAAGTTATAACCAACATCCCAATAAATTCGTAAGTACTAGATTACTTGCATCCACAGTACTTCAGATACAATTCATATGTTCTCTAAATTTTTTTCAATTTATTTGGGCCTAAGTAATATATTTCAAATATACCTTTTAAGTTATAGGCTTATGCAAATACATATGTACAAATCATCCCAATCTTTAGGTACATAATTTCGTTCCAAAGTTATAAAGAACATCCTAATAAATTTGTAAGTACCAAAGTACTTGCATCCATACTACTTCAGATACAATTAATGTGTTCTCTAAAGTTTTCCCAATTTTTTTGGCCCATTCATAACATAATTCAAATACATCTTTTAAGTTATAGGTTTATGCAAATACATATGTACAAATCATCTTAATCTTTATGTACTTGTTTCATTCCAAAATTATAACGAACATCCCAATAAATTCCCTTTTCTAGGTCACGAAAGAGTCTATCGCGCCCATAACCAGGTCGCGGGTCATATCAATATACTTTTCTGTGTCAAGCGTGGATATAACGTCCTGGTTATGTGGTTTTTTATGTTATGGGAGTTGCCCATTTTCACCTCTATCCAACTCCGACAAGCCTTTCAATCAATATTTCCATGCCACATTTTATCTCTTTTCTCCGTGCTAGACTATGACAAAGTGTGGTCATGACACTCAACATAGTTGTTTGGGATGATGTCATTACGCGTTGTAACGCCACCCCTCCTACCCGCGTTTAGAATTTAGAGTAGTCCCTTATGGTGTTTATTTTATTCAGTGTAACGACCCACTCTACTACATGGTATGATATTGTCCACTTTACGCAAAGCCCGCACGGTTTTACTCTTGGGCTTTACCCTGCAAAGGGTCATACCAATTAGAGTGACACACTTACATATAAGCACTTCACCTTTCTCTTACCCAAGTGATATGGGATTGTGCACCCGTAACTCGCCAGTGTGGTAATCTGTCAGTGTCTCGCACCCGTCTACAGGGTCATCACAATCCACCCCCCTTGGAGGCCTGATGTCCCTGTCGACACACTTCCGTCTGGGTCAGGCTCTGATACCATTTGTAACAACCCACTCTACCATATGGTATGATATTGTCCACTTTGGGCTTGAGTCTACACAGTTTTGCTCTTCGGCTTTACCTCAAAAGGCCTCATACTAATTGGAGTGACACACCTACATATAAGCACTTCACCTTTCCCTTACCCAAGCGACGTGGGATTGTGCACTCGTAGCTCTCCCAGTGTGGTCACCTGCCAGTGTCTCGCACCCGCCCACAGGGTCAACACATTCAGGATGTGCCGCGGTTTACATTCTTAAACACTATCATATATAATTAAGAACTATTTTTAGTCTTTGCATCCAAGTTTTGTTGTGATTGCCAATTCCTCGGGTGAAACCATGAGATTAGTTTACTCCTTTGGATAACTTTGGTAAACAAATTATGTATTTGTTTTACCAAAGTTAAGTACAAGTGTCTCCCACATCATGATTGCCTACTGTAAATTAAAGACCTTCTACATTAGTTGGCTTTCCACAACCAGCTATGTGATAGCTTAGGAGTTTGGGAATATATATGTATAAACATAGCCGTGGGCAAGTCTCGCAATAGATGGCCCCATACTCTCACATGCACAAGCCCTTATGCTTTGCAAATGGTCATGCTTACGTGCTAGTACCAATGCACATGCATGAACCAAACCTGTGTGTGGGTGATGTGTGCAGGGACTATGCCCACACGCTAGTTAGTGAATTTTGAATATACCTAGGCATTGGTAATATGCGTGCATGGGCTATACCATCGTTAATGTGGTAAGGGAATAGGGTATGCATGCTAGTTGCCCTATTGTATACATGTAATCTCTGCCCATCAAACTTCACATGCTATTACAAGTGTTGTGCTGTCTGAATGATTGGATTGCTCAAGTGATTGAGTTTTGCACCTTTCCCCTCCCCTCCTAACATTCTTGTCATGAAAAAAAGAAAAAAAAAAAATGTTATATGCTATTGCCACCTTCATAGGTATATATGTCAAAAGTCCCACTCATGTTCCATTAGTTTTTAGAAAGTGATATAAACCCGTTTGCCATGCTAGGAATGCATATGTTAAATACCTACGTTCTTATGACTATTGAAAGGGACGCCTGTGCACTGGACCTAAGGGTGGCAATTCGTGTTCGTGAGTCATAATCGTGTCGTGTCGATGCAAGGGTATTATACTAAATAGGTAAACTTAAACCCAATCAATTTAATAATTGTGTCAAGAACACTTAAAACTAACCCAACTCGTTCATTAAATAGATAAACGTGTTAACCCATTTAATAACCTGTTTATCAAAACGAGATATTTAATATTTAATCAAATATTAAATAATAGAAGAAAAAAAAATTGTCACAATTAACCCAAATATTCAAAATAAGAAGAAAAATCATAAGGCATAAACAAAGTTTGACTTAACTATTCATAGTAATTGGATTTAAATAGATAACATATTATATAGGTCATATTTACGATTATAACATGTTGAGTTAAATGAGTCCTAAACGGGTTACACGGGTTAAACCTGTGAGATATTATTTTGTAATTGGCAATTATCGGAAACAAAACAAATCATTGTCGAGTTGTAATTCGAAGTTACTATATCGGGATCGACAGCGACTGCGAAATGGAAAGGTTGTTTAAAGTTATTATAATTGAGATCATTCGAAATAAGGTAAGAACAACACATTAGGAAGGATTCTAAATAGGGTAGGACATATTCTACACTTTCCATATTTTTCAGAACTTACTGTAAAATGTTTTTAGACTGAATGAATCAAGGATTTCAAGTCTGCCAAACTTGAACCGGCTCAGCCCCTCTGAACCGGTTCAAGATGCTCAAGATTGGCTTCAAAAATTTTCTGCCAATCTTGAACCGATTTAGCCCCTCTGAACCGGTTCAAGCAGGCCTGATCAGTTTCCAACTTTTAGTTTCCTGTTTTAGAATTGTTTCCTAGTTGGTCTAGAAGTGTACTAAGTCCTATGCACGAATTTTTCTATATTTTCAGAGGGACTAGGACATTTTAAACTCTATATAAATCTTATAATACATGTAGGTTTATTTACGGCTTTTGTATTATCAATTTATCATTCTTAAAAGCCTTAGGAAGATTTTTGTCTCAGAAAATCTTGGAGATTTTTCTATTTGTCTTTCTAGAACACACACATATTCACATAGTGATTTTAGTATTGTGTTGTTCAAATCTTAATCGTGATCATACAGTTGCGTCTACATCGATCAGACAAAAACAGATATACTTCTACATCGAATTTAGAAGTTGAAGAACAGAAATAAAAACGATCACACTTTGAAAGGGTTGTAACATTCGAGGAGTGTTGTCTGATTTACCTGTTACTTTTCTACAAAGGTCAATCATAAGTCTGAGGTCAAGTTGCTGTTGACCGGGGAGTCGCAAAGCCAGAGGATTGTCAGCAATTGGTATTTGGTAGAACGATAGGGTGTGATCCAGAGTCAAAGTTCAGTGTACTTTGTTTCAAGCATAGTGGATCAGTTTACTTTGGACTGAACAATCTACGAGATTTTTTTTCACGCAAACAGTTGACGTATTTTATCAACTTGGGTATCCTCGCTAAAAATCCTGGTGTCATCTGTAACTTTTACTTTGCTTTATTTTTTATTACATGATATTAATTTATTAATTACTAAAATAAAGAAAGTTAGAAAAACAAAAGATACGTTTTTAAAATTTCAAAACTTTCTAAATATTCCGCTGCATACAACTCACAAAACCCCTTAATCTTAACCCGATACGGTTAAGTAAACGGGTTAATCGTGTCGACCCTTTTATGACCCAAATCCGTTTATGTCAAATTCAAACCACTACAAGAAAAAATGGCTTCTACGAGGGGCCAAAAACGCCATGGAAACTTATTCACGGCGCATTCTAGGCCCTCGTGTATGAGGGTTCCGTAAATACTCAATTTTTTTTTTTACGAGAAAAAATCTATTTCGTAAAAAAATAATAGATTCATCGTAGAAAATAATTTTGTTTATATATTAAATTTATTTACAACATGGATATTTTCCCGTTAATAATTAACTTACAAGGCATCGGCGCATGCCGTAGAAAAGTTTTCTACGGCGAATTGTAACTACTCGTAAATAATCTCACGAGACACTGGCGCCTGCTGTAGAAAAGTTTTCTCCGGTAAATTGTAACTACTCATAAATAATCATGAGGCACCGACACCTGTTGTAGAAAAGTTTTCTACGGCGAGTTGTAACTACTCATAAATAATCTCACGAGGCATTGAAACATACCGTAGAAAAGTTTTCTACAACAAATTTTAGCAACTCGTAAATAATATAAACCATTCTCACAACTTGCCATGTATGCCGTACAAAAGTTATTTAGGAAGATTTTCACTTATTTACGGGATTTCAAGCTCCCCGTAAATAATATATATATATATATATATATATATGTTTATGTTTTTTTATAATTAATGTACTCTTAATTAATGCTAATTAATCATCCACTACCTATAATTCACATCACTTTCAACTATAATTCAATTCAAAATACATACATATCCCATTAAATATATCAAAAGAGTTAAAACATTTTTACAATTCATCATTTATTAATGTGCCAAAACAATTCAACATTTATCAATGTTCCAAAACAAGAAAAAAAATCCATTTGTCAAGAAAATCGTCAATTTCTTAATACTTTTGTTGAAAAATTGATAAACCTTCTAGCACTTGAGTTTCAGCCTGCACTTGTCAAAAAACCACTTCACTGTACAAAATCTAAGGAAGTAACTGCAAAATCCACGGTACAAAATCCAAGAAAGTAGCTGCATCACACAAGTCTTAAATTCAGAATGCTAATAAAAAAGAGAAATAACAAGATTATCATTTATGAATCAAACACAAACATTTTGCTAAGAATTTCTTCCTCAGATCTGCCAAAAATATTTCAAGCAGATAATTTTCCTTAATTGAATACTAGATTTTTGTAAGGATGTATGAGAACAGACAATATCATAATATCTTTATATTCATGAACACTACAATATCATAATATGTAGTCTCTTTATCTCATGATTATGAGCAAATCTGAAACATTGTAGGTTTTTGTTGCAACGATTATGAGCAAATCTAAAACATTCTTGTTGGTGTTCATTGTTGCAGGACCCATTTTGGAGCAGCTTTTTCAGGTGTAGTATATGGCTTTCTCACTTGCCCAACGCTGCAAGTAGAGGATACATCAAAAACTGGTCAAGAAGAAGGAATCACTCTTGTTAGGCGAAATGTCGATCCTTGTAAATCACTTATTGTATTCTCCCTCTTTGTTCTTCTTTTAAGCTCCTTAGTTTTTATTATAGACCCTCCTCTCAACTCAATGGCAGATGACATCTCTATATAGACATCGAAATATATAACGATCTTTTATGTAGCATAGAACTCTCGAGTTGGGAAACAAATATAATTACTTGTAAATTTGGAATAATGTCATTGTTTTACCAGTTTTAGTAAATTTCATTAACCTCCAATTTCAATTGCTCAAAACAGATTCATCATATTCTTCTAATAATTCCTTCAGAGTTCTGTTACAACCTAGAAAATACTCATATCTTGTATATTTGTTTGTATAAAAGATAATTAAATAGAATGAGGTAGTTAATTTGATTTCTCACTTTTCAACAAAATGGCAATGGATAAGCTAATCAGTCCCATCTAAATTCTAAACAGAGAGGTGGAGCCCTGGAATTTCTCTTTTACAGAGAGTGTAGTGGGTGGGAGGGAGGGAGGGAGTTTGCTGCTTTGAAACAGAGAGGTGGAGCCCTAAAATTTCTATTTTACAGAGAGTGTAGTCCATGCAGGTCCTTAATGACATGCAAAAAGTCAGGTTAATCTGCTTTGAAACAGACAGTTGGGTCCTATAATCTCTCTTTTGATAGCTTGTCCCAATGAACATTCAAAATATAATAGTTTTTCAGAAGAGCTTTTGAGGCTTTAGAATACCTGTAAATTATCTTATATTCACAAGGCACAAATATGAATATTTTAAATTTCTATGTCATTCCTTTTAAATTGCCTTACCATTTTGTAAGCAAAACTAACCACTTAGCTCTCTTTTGCCACATAATCCATTAAGAAAGAGCATATAAACACAACATCCAAAATGTTGATTACATATAGCCTTTTACAATTTTCTATCATATTCAAAATGTGAATTACATATATAGCTTTTTACAGATTTTTGTTATTTTCAAAATCTGGATTCTATCTTGTACTTTATCCTCGCTTCATTTGAAAACTATCAATTAGTCACAATTTTTATTATTTTCAAATGTGGATTCCATCTTGTACTTTGTCCTCGTTTGATAAAATCAGTTGTAGTGTGGATAATTCTTTCATGCTATTTAAAAGCAATGTCTAAAAAGTGAAAACTAACAGATGACATCTTATCAAAATCTGAAGGTTCTTAAAATGATAATACTCACTCCTCGTTATGGGAAAACTGTGATCTAATAATGGTGGCCATAAGCAGGCCTTCCATCTTATTTCACTAGAATTTGTATAATTCAGAAATTTCTCCATAGTAAAAACATTATAAAGACAGCCCATGCCTTACTTTTCTCTACAAATGTCTCTTAAACCTTCTAGTTCCAAGCCATCTATCCTGCTACTACCTAAATCTTTGTGCGACTGAGCTCCTCTGTTGCAACACATCAGCATATAGTGAACATCTAAAGGCATATACAGTATTATATTCATGTCTATATTCATTATTTTAATGGTAAGTTGAATGGAATGGTTTAATATATATCTTTACAAGGTCACATTACGGTGTATCAGCATGTAGCAAACAGAGAGTTTGAATATCCATTTATAATGAGAAAGACCATATATTTCCTTAGGTTTAACATCAAGGGAAGGAAATGTGGGTGCATAACAAAGAAATTGCCACTCCATGGGTAATCCTTCTCCTATCGGACCTATCCTACTATTTGTGTAGCTACTATTGTTGATAAAAGTGGCCTCCTTATTTTGGTGGGATTAAATCGTGAGCTTAGCTCAGATTAGTAAAAAAGTACCTTACAATTCAAGTGCACCCTCCTATCAAGCTATTGCTATATGTTTCTTTGTTTTATTAACTGTAATGTAGAAAATGGTCCTTATTAGTAAAACTGGAGAGAAATGTTGTACATAAGGAGATTTAGGAACTTAACGCTAGAGAGTTGGCTAAGGAATTCACACATGCGACACTGGAGTTGGGTTATGTATTGGGGACTAATAATTCTACCTTACTGGTTCTTTTTTCTTTGCAATAATTACCAAACCATAAATAGTCATCGTCATGATCTCTCCATCCGCAATTTCTAGTAAGACTTTTGGAGATCATTCCTAACAGATGGGGTTGATGAGAAAATTTGGAGTTGTTTTTTTATTATTTTATTTTTATGAATTTGAATCGACTAAAATTTGGATTTGAACAAAACTTTAGTTAGAATAAAAGTTTTGGAAACTTCATTAATTTTTCTGTTCTGACAATTAAGAATGTTTTGGAAACTTAATTAATTTTTCACAGGATTTACAAGTTTTTGAATTCTAAACTTCAATTATTCTTGGTGGGTGTTTTAGATAGAATATAAACATGAATAAAAAAAGCATTAACTAATAAAATATGTGCAATAAAGTAATCCTTTGTAAGCATCCTGAGACAATTTTTTTTTTTTTTTTTTTTTTTTTTGAAAGGTTAATTCGCATCCTGAGAGTCTGAAACACTTGATAGCATGATTTTTTATTAAAACTTAGAAGAGTAGAAGAACTCTTTAACTTTGATATATGTCCATGACTTTATTCTATTCAATTTCCTAATAAAGAATGGTTCATACCCTACCACTGTGGTACTAAAGTATGGTTCCAATAATAGATGGAAAGGCTTCAAAATTTTCATGCAAAGACAAACTACTATTCCATGTAAAACTAAAAAATTTAAGTAAAGGTATAAACAATATATCAACAACTTCTCCTCCACCACAATCAATCAAAACCTCCACATACGATGATCCCATACTCCCATGCTTTTGACATTTTAAAACAAGAAATAAAAATGGCCTCCACACGGGCGGATGTACCAATAAGGTAATAAAGTTCAAGATACACCACAAAATTGGTCACTTAAAGGCACGTGACCCCCCCAAGTATGAGTATAAAAAGCATTAAAATTGTGCAATCATAAAAGAATTTTATCGCACATAAAGACCATATAACTTACAATATTCACATACACATGCATGCACGCTAGTAAAAATGTACATGCAATGCAACATATATGTATAACTTTTGGATACATAATAAATTCTATTTCCATTTATATAAACAATATAGTACTCGTTCATGAATTTTGTAGGAATTAACTCAAATCCCTTTTGAAAGCTGAATATTAAGATGATAAAACTTAGAATAATCAAACTTTAGTACTTTTTGAGTGTTCCATTGATCACTATATGTGCCATTAACTTATAATTTGTCACCCTCATGATCTCTAAAGTGCCTGCAACTTTACATGCACTCTCGATTGATGAAAATATCAGTGAGCCATTCAATTCTGCCCCAACCTCCATTCAAAATATACTGGTTAATTTTTTAGAAAATTCAGGCCCTTCACAGGTTTTTCAAAGAAAAATGTAGCTTCATAGTGTATTGCATTCACAACCCAAGTAAAACTGTCCCTACTCCATTCAACAATTCCCAAACTCGAATTACAGATTTTTAGCCCAATCCCCTTTTCAATTTAAAATCACAGTCCAATAATCAAGTCCCATTGTTCAATTTCAGTCCAATTTTTTCTTTTTAGATTTCAATTTTTTTGATTTTTCAGAATATCAACTCAACAAGTATGCATATATATACTGAGAATGAAAAATAAAAATAAAAATAAAAGATAAAAGGCACGTGACCCCCTAAAACAATCAACTTTTTAAGCATATAATGCATTGCCATGGTGATAATAAAAATGAAGAAGCATAGTATTTGACCTTTGTTGTAGACTGGAATCATAAAAATTCCGATTCTTCTACTCCTAATGAACTGGTGATAATCAATCCTGTCAGAAAAAAATATTGACAGAAGAAAAGGAGGAACCAAAAGCAAATCCAGGAAAATAGCTTAATTTCTTTTAGCAACAATGATATGACACAGACCTTGTAGCACCAAGGAGTAAGTTCCTGCAAAGACTTTCTTCCTTCTGCTATCTTTTCTCTAAATCACTGTGAAAGAGAAAGAAAAACGTCAATGCAAAACAACAGTAAAAAACAACGATGTGCAAAGATAAAGCCTGAAAATAATTGCAAAACAAGATTTTAGCAAGGTAGTTGAAACTCTCCCCTCATTGTTCACCAAAATAAACACATCTAGTTATAAGATCACATTTACTGACTTGTTAATATATTTTCAAATCTCCTTAACACGCTTGTCCTTTTTTGTCTTAACTCTTTCAACTACATCACATGTTATATAATTCATAGGTATAAAGTTTTTGTACACAATTACAAAAATTTCGTTCATCTCGCAAAGTTAGAGTTGTGCAAAAAATAACAAATCATTATTCTACCACCAAATGCGTGCATCATTAATGAAAGATGAATTAGTGATGCACAAAAATCTCAAAGCATTTTGTAACGAAATCGAATAAATACTTGCCAAAGAAAATAAATTAAGATCACAAAATTCTAAAATTACAAAAAAAAAAAAAAAAGAAAAAAAAAAGTGTGTTCACAAAGACCTACTTCACTTACAGAGGGTGGAACTTACAGAGGGTGGAAATGAGAGCAAGTAAACGAAGTCACTTCAATTAAGTTAAGAAAAAGAACAAAAACTTCAGTATTTGATATCAATGAACACAAAATACATCAACTACAAACCAGAAATTCAGTGGCACTGTGAGGTGCAATCATCATGATTTTATAGTGTAACAGGAAATATTGCTCAATCTATTTAGCTTGTGCTTAGCTTAACTCATTATTTATTAAACAGGCATCCATTATGCAATATTTTGAAAAGTAAATCAAATGTCATCATAACACCACTGTGATGGCCATTCACCTGTCTTTTAGCCTTTTCATGAAGATACTATACCAAAATAATGCACTTTCCAGGTAGAATATTTATGAATTTACAATATCAAGTTACTCACAGTAATTGAGTTACTTCAATTGCCGTTTCTCTAAGCGCCTTCTATCTAAAATGAAAGTAGAAGCTATTTCTACTAAAACCTAATTTATTGACTTGCTATACTTTTGAGTCTTAGGTTGATGTGGCCTTCTATATAGCTACATTAAGATAATTCTGAACCTCAAGGATTCCAAAAAGACTTGTAATTGATCAACTGCTTCTTCTTCTTCTTCTTTTTTTTTTTTTTTTTGACCAGATAATCACTTCCAACTGGAATCTCAGATATGCTTAAACAGTAAGAAGAAGTCACCATACAAAAGAATAATTGGCTTCCAGGTAGTCAATTTTCTCCCATTTGTGCTTGCCTTGTTGCATTTTTATGTTACTATCTTGTTTCTATTTGATAAAGTGTGCAATTCTCCTAATGTCATGTTACTCTACTCCAGTTTTATCCACAAGACCCCAGCAAACTAATGATCACATGTGCTGATTCACAAGTCAGATTCTTCATGGAATTAATGTGATTGGCAAATATAGGGGTACGTGTTTATTCTTTTCTTGGGGAAAAAAATAGGGGAGTTTCAAATGAAAGATAATAATAATAAATAATAAAAATAATAAAGGACATACTAGTTCTTAGCCCAGAGCGGTTTGAAATGCACAGTCAAACAAATCTTCCCTCCTCTATACATCTAACAAAATTCGCAAAAACCCAAATCAAATTACATCATTCCCACACATACAAACACATAGATAAAAAAATTGACAAACAAAATTTGATAAAAAAAAAAAAAATTAAACCTAATCGAACCTTGTGGGTCTTGCCATCCAGTTGGGGCAATTCGAGTTCAGGGGCAGTGGAAGGGTAGGTGATGGGGATGTCGACACTGCAACAGTCATGGCTTTCACCAGCGCTCAAAAACGTTGGTGAAAGCCTTAAAAAGTGCTGGTAAATCCCCTTCTTGATTGCTAATGTGAAGGAAACCGGGACAAAGGCTAAATTATAGTGGTCACACTGTCAGCAATAGTAAGAATGTAGCAAGCTCAGTGTCTTGTAGCATACAAAAACAGAATTTTTTGTTCAAGTAAAAGGCAAACAAGAGACCAAATGAGTCTTTGGTTCTTACTATGGTTATTTAGTTACAGTAGTAAAAGTCATCTTCAATGGAGTTTATTATTATGTCACTATCCCATAACTAATCCACGAAATTTCATAGTTATGATAGGCTGATACCATTGGCCACAACTTATGTCTATGTAAAATAAAAAAAATAATAGTAAATGAATTTCTCTAAGATATTGTGTGATGATTAACTGGGAAGGCTTGGACTGTTGACCAGCAAGTAAGAACTCTAGACTTTTGTTTTTTAACTTGGAACATATAGAGGTTTACACTTTATGGTGATAAAAAAGAAGTCCATGCTTACTAATTTCACTAATATTTAACTTCAAGATTTTTGTGACCCCATGTATCAACACTCATATTTAAATTCATATACTTAAATATATATATATATAAAAAATAAAAAAAAAACCCTCATATAAGGATCATAATATAAATAAATAAATAACTAAAATGAACAACTTACATGTTGAAGCAACCCTGGCACTTCACATCCACAAAAATTATATCGTTGAAAGTCTGAAGAAACTCTACATAAGACAACCAAACATCAATAGTCTTACAGAGAGAAACTAAAACAATCCTAACCAAAGTCTGAAGAAACGTATTATAAAAAATCTTATGTACAGTAAAAGATCTAATATATATATATACACACACACACACTAAGTACGAAAAATTCGTTTGGAAATAAAAGAAAAAAAAAAAATCAAACCAAAAATTCATATCATAAAAGAAAAAAAAAACATTAAAAAATGAAATTTGCTTATGGATTGGAACTTACTCAGAAATTGTAGAGAGAAACTAAATTGTGTAAAATGAATGATCAGTGAGAAATAAAACAACGAACCACGAAGAAATTAAAATGAAACAAAGCGGTATCTGAGAGAGGCTTTAGCGAGAACGTTTTGGGAGGAAAATCTAGTGAGTAAGATCTCGAAATGACATAAATTTACAGCTCTTAGAGATCGAGTAGCTGGTTAGAGATCGAGACTGAGGAGAGACAGCTTGAAGAGAAGCCTAGGGCTTCAACTTTGTAATCTCAGATGAGATAATGCCGAAAGAGAGACGGGTTAGCAAACATCAATCAAGGGCTTCAGCTGAGAAATGGAGATCGAGAAGTGAGAGATCAAGACAGGGTAGAGGAGTCTTGCAGTGAGATATCGAGATAGAGCAGGTTAGCAAACATCAATCGAGGGCTTCAGCTGCGAAATGGAGATTGAGCAGTAGAGATCGAGACAGAGTTATCTTAAATCAAAGGCAAAATATTTTTCAGAGATGGGAGTCTTGCAGCTGAGAGATCGAGATAGAGCAGAGAGAGGAGACGGATGAAGTATGGCTAAATGAAATTAAAATGGGAAAGTGAAATGTTGTAGTGTTAATGGACCCAAAAAAACGACGCAGTTTAGGCACCAAATATTCTAAATAAGCGGAGGGAAAAAGTGGAGGGAAGAGAAAAATTATAGGGAAGGGGAAAAACCAGAGGGAATGGATTTTTGTAAAAGGCTAGCTTATTTATGGGGCAATAAAAGTACCTTAGATGTGAATTTATCCATGAGTCCTTTAATACACCGTAAAAGAACTTAAATTCATTTTTTTATTATTTTTTGTGTATATTTTTTAAGTAATTTTATTAATTATGCCTATTCAAGCTTATTTATAGGGAAAAAAAAAGGTCTTTAATGTGAAATTTAATGCTTCATCTACGAGGAACATTTATCCAGTTAAAGGTGTAAAAATATGCCGTAAATATATCTAAATATTCACCGGCTCTTTAATATGCCGTAAAAATATTTTTCTTCGACGATTCTATAAAATCATCGTGAAAGCATATCCTATAACGTAACAATTACGAGGATTCTTTTAAAAACTCCGTAAATGGTGGTAACCACAAAGCAAAATAAAGAAGCCCTATAAATATTATGTCGTAAAAGCTCACTTTTCTTACCTTGTTGTGAACCCTTACTCGTATCCTGTTATCGTGTCATGTTATAACTTGCCACCCCTAATTGAACCTCTACTTCTTTATTTTTCCTATGAGTGGCCCCTGTTAGTTGTTACAGTATTCCCCTTAAATCTACGCCAATATACACGTCTATACACACATTTCTACTGATCCTTATGTCTACTAGATTCTTTTTAATTTAAAATAGTAAATGTATACTTCAATTCTATCCATTTTTAGAACTACAATATCTATTGGTGAAAGAATTTTGGAGATTTAATAAACAACCCTCCACCTCCACCTCCACCTCCTCCTCATCAGGACGAAAGAGGAGGAAAAAGAGCGCTTCTCTTTTGCTATGCAAACACGCAGTTGATATATATTTTGAAGGAAAATACTTAAGAAAAATATATATTGGCCATCATGGAAAGCAAAATGTTGTTGTTTTCAAAACTTCCAATTCTCATTGCACTCTTCATTATTTTATCTACGTCCCCAACCCCAGCTTTCGCAGCAAAAAAGGTACAATATTTTTTTCTCTACATCTATGGTGGAAATTTCGCGGTTGGAATTTAACTTATTTGCTAGTTTTTTCCCCTCTAATGGATTGGCTTTGATTATTCTCCTTTATTTGCTTATTTATTTATTTTCTGTTGTGGTGGTCTTTAATAGTCATATATTGTGTACATGGGAGGTCATTCACATGGTAGAAAGCTGACAGAGGTAGCTCTAGGCGAGGTCTCAGATTCTCACTACGAGTTCCTTGGATCATTCCTGGGAAGGTATGAGATTTGACACTTGTTTTGAGTAATAATTTTTTCCCTTTTCCATTATGTTCGTCATTCTCTTAAACCTATTTAAATATTTGGAGTTGGCCAAAAAAATTATAATTTCAAACAAAGAAATAGAAAAAGAGAATTCGTGTGGCCAACCCTTGAATTCATGGTGTCACAAATTTGAGAATTCACAAATTTCTCCACTTTTACCTTGTGTCAAATGAACTAATATGTAGATTGAGATGACAATTACCTTATGCAAATAATATTAAGTCTAATTCAATCTTTTCCGTTTCGAAAATCCTAATTGAAAAGAGATTAGGTGTTAGCATTTTTCATACTATTATAATGTTCAACTCTCTCTTTTGCTCATGGTACGGTTTAATGCAGTACAAAGGAGGCCAAAGATGCCATATTTTACTCCTATACGGCTTACATCAACGGCTTTGCTGCAATTCTTGATGAGGAGGTGGCAGCTAATATTTCAAGTAAAATGTCTTAGTGTTGATAAATACTTTTCCTTAATCCTTTGTCTCCTTTATGTTTGATCAGTGATATTTGGTGTACTAAAATGAACAATGTTTCACAATATATATCTATGCAGAGGATGCAAGAGTTGTGTCAGTTTTCTTAAATAGAAGGATAAAAAGACACACAACGCATTCATGGAATTTTCTTTCCCTAGAAAATAACTACGGTGATGTCGACTCGAATTCGTTGTGGAAGAAAGCCAATTATGGAGAAGATATCATCATTGGAAATATTGATGGTGGTAAGTGAACTCTATATGCTTGCTTTTAAATTAGTTCTCTTTTATCCTTGTAATTCCAGATTTTTAAATTTGAAATTCATAATTCTTGAGACTTTGGTTTTGCTAGGTGTCTGGCCTGAATCAGAGAGCTTCAGTGATGAAGGATATGGACCCGTTCCATCAAAATGGAATGGAATATGTCAGAGTAACACCAAGGATGGATTCCCTTGCAATAAGTATGTTGTAGTTTCATATAGATCACTGGCTGACCAGACGACTAAATATCAAAATAAATCAACAGAAATAGGGAAACAAAATCATATCTAAAAAAACTCGAAACGAATATATCAATAAGAAAGCATACAAATAACTCAAAGCACACACCCATTATGCACAAAACAGTTCCTGAACACTCAACTTTGGCCCAAAAATAATCAGTTGGTATTCAATTGAATTTTTGTTTTGTTTCAAAAAAATACAAGTTTGTGAAAAAATATTGATTCTCTCTTTTTATTTTTGGCTTGTAAAGTGAAATATCAATAATCAATTTTGAAACAATTAAGAAAAGTAAGTGGAAGTGGTTTGTTGACAGTCCAACATCTTGATTCTTCATAATCCTAACTATATATATATCAATATTCTTGAATTCTCACCAAGTCCAGACTTGATAAATATTAGAAACTAAATTTCTTTACGATTAAGACTTCTTCTAGTTAGAACAATACCGCAGGATTTGTTCAGTTATTGATGTACTGCTTGATTATTTATTTTTATTTTTTTTGGAAAACAAAATAATAAGTGAACTTCTTACTTCTATTGTCTAATAAAAATTAAAAATTTCAGGAAACTTATCGGAGTTAGGTACTTATACAAAGGATATGCTTCCTTATGTGGCGTTAAAGACCATTCCAATTTCTCAGCCCGAGAGGTCGATGATGGCCATGGAACTCACACGCTATCAACCGCAGGTGGGAACTTTGTCCCAAGAGCAAATGTGTTTGGCTTTGGCAATGGAACTGCAAAAGGTGGTGCACCTAGAGCTAGAGTGGTTGCTTATAAGGCATGCTGGCAGCGAAGTAAGAAAAAATGTTCAGAGGCTGACATACTCAAAGCCTTTGATTATGCCATACACGATGGCGTTGATGTGCTTTCAGTTTCTCTTGGTCCCGATTCTCCCCAAGACTATTTCAATGATGGCATTTCAATCGGGTCATTCCATGCTGCTAAGCATGGCATTGTCGTGGTGGCCGCAGCGGGGAATGAAGGACCGGAACCTGGTACTGTCGGAAATGTTTCGCCGTGGCTGATAACTGTTGGAGCTAGCACCATGGATCGTGAACTTGGTGCTTACGTTGACCTTAATAATGGAATGCGTCTCAAGGTTCAATTCGAATTCTGTCATTAACTTTGGCATTGTTTCAACTTAAAATATTTTTTTATTTTTCAGTATTTGCAAAGTCTAAATAGAAATTGAGGTCAAATGAAACATGTAAAATAACTTACCTAAATTTATTAGTAAAATATTTTTGTTAGATTTTAATATTTTTTTCTTCTTAAATATTTTTTTGACAACCAAACACAAAAATATATATATATATTTTTTTAAAGATATTTTACATCCAGAGAAATATATGTCTTATACTTGTTTGAGATTTTAATAATTATCTAATATATGATAATAGGGAAAAGATATTAGCTCCAAGCAATTGCCCGAAGATAAATTCTACCCACTTATTGCGGGTGAACAAGCTAAAAATGCCGATGCCGGTACTGCAGACGGGTAAGAACAACCTAGCTTATTCAAACCATCACCTTTTTAAGTGTTGCTTCTGTTTTGTTTCGTTGCATGTAATGTACGTGATGTGCTTGTTTTTATGTAGTTCACGCTGCCTGAATGGAACGCTCGACGCCCAGAAGGTAAAGGGTAAGATCTTGGTTTGTCTTGTTCGAGACACGTCTCGGAGAATTGAGAAAGGACAACAGGCTGCTTTGGCTGGTGCTGCGGGGATAATTTTTTGTGACAATACCACCAAAGGCAATGAAAATGATGATAACAACATTCATGTTTTGGCAGCATCACATATCAATTACACAGATTGTCTTGCTGTTTTTTCCTACATCAACTCTACCAAGTAACTTTCTCTTTGTCATCTTTCACATTTTGTGGACATCTACTTTGATCACTTTTCTTATACTCGTTACAAACATTTCGACAGTAATCCACTGGCTATGATTAAGCCAATGGAAGAACTGCACACAAAGCCTGCTCCGCTCATGCCTGATTTCTCCTCTAGGGGTCCAAACATTTTAACACCAGGAATCCTCAAGGTTTGGCCAATGGACACATTACCATTTTGCTTTTCTATTTTCTTTTTTTCTTTTTTATTTATCAGTTTTTAATTAAGTAGTAACCATTTTTGATCGGATTTATAAACTCAGCCTGACATTACTGCGCCGGGAGTACATGTCATAGCTGCGTACACTGGAGCTGCCAGCCCTACAGAAAAAGATTTCGATCAGCGCAGGACACCCTTTATCCATATGAGTGGAACATCCATGTCTACTCCTCACGTAGCCGGAATTGCTGGTCTTCTCAAGGCAATTCACCCAGATTGGAGCCCTGCAGCCATTAGATCTGCAATCATGACAACCGGTAATTCTTCAATAATTAGTTGTACTAATAAAATTGTTCTACTAATATCAGTTAGTTCTTGGAGCACATTTGTGTTGAACTTATTCTGTTTCTCATCATTCTGTGTCCAGCAAGAACAAGAGATAACACCCGACATCCAATGCTAAAACGATCACTGAATGGATCATTTGCTAAGGCAACACCGTTTGATTACGGTGCTGGGCATATACGTCCAAATCTTGCAGCAGATCCTGGCTTGGTCTATGACATAACAGTTAAGGATTACAAAGAAGACTTCCTTTGTGCACTTGGCTATAATAAAACTGTTATAAAACTCTTTTCTGAGAGTATCGTATGTCCACAATCCACCAATCCTCTCAGTATCTTGAACCTTAACTACCCTTCAATAACCGTCCCTAAACTCTCCCGTCCAATCACAGTGACTCGAACAGTGAAGAATGTCGGCTCAACCAGCACTTACACAGCTCGTGTCCGGCTACCACCGGGATTTTCAATTTCTGTTGAACCCAATGTTCTGAAATTTGAGAGGACTGGTGAAGAGAAAACCTTTTACGTGACTTTGAAAGCTAAAAGAAATGGTGTTTCAAAAGGTTATGCATTTGGAGAATTATTATGGTCAGATGGTGTACATAATGTTAGGAGTCCAATCACAGTTGCCATTGATCCCACACCTCCACAAAAGAAAGAGGAGGAGGAGGAGGACAACGAATGCTAGTCCAATTACAGTACCAAATAGAAAACACAATCATCAATCGGATTTGAATGAATGATACACTTAATTAATTGTCATATTTTGTACAGGGATAATATTTATATATTGGATTGGGACATAGGAAAAGAAGATATGAGTGGGTATCTTTGTATTTGATAAAAGCAGTTATAATTTGTGTATTTAATTTAAATAGAATTACTTGTTTGTGTAACTTGAGTTCTCTTTTAACTTAATTAGTAATTGCCTACCAACATTTTATAGTTGAGTTCCAATCTAAATTAACATAAATTTATTTTGCAAACCAGTTTTAGAGAAGACAATTTTGGAAAACAAAAGTAATTGCTATGTTTTCATTTTATCAACTCCAATAACATAAAAATTGTGTTTTCAATAAGAAAATTCAACAAAATTGATGAAGCCAGTTATATAAGGAAAGTTATGTCTCTAGAATTTTGCTTCTGAAGAAACGTGGCAGCAAAAGAAAAAAGAGGAGGAAAAGGTTGAAGTTGGTAATCCATCTTTCAAACTCACTCCAATCAGAATTGCCCATCAATTCTGGAGGCACCAATGCATGCGACGTCTTCCCAAAAGGTAACTTTCTTATATAATTGAATTTCATAAAGAACCAATCAATACTTTCCTTACAAATCCAAAATCTTCAAGTTAACAAAATTTTCTTCAAAGTTTTGGTTTCTAAAAAATATCATTGTGGAATATTTTCTTACATCTCATGTGGAAAAGAATGAAAGATAGATAGCAATAACACAATGATAAAACAAATAAAACAAGAGATAGAATTGAAAGAAATATAAACGTAATAAGGGGCATTACTAGAAGAATATATGAAGCAGTAAATGTATGAAGACGTAGAATCTTTGCTGCGTTGACATTGGGCAGTGACGTGGCAAAGCTGGATTTGGTGGCAATAGCATGACAGTGGGTATTCTAATACTGAAGGAGTTCAAAGTAGATGGACGATGAGTTAGTCATTTGATGTTTGGACAGTCTTTAGTGGTTTAGTTTGTCTTGACATTAGGATAGTCTTTATAATATTATTTTAAGAGTTGTTTAGGACTCTTTAGTTTTTCTTTAAAGAGTGGGGAATAATCATTGTAAGGGGTCCACACCTCTCAAACAATCGCATGATCAAACTCTAGTGCAATTTCCTTTATTATTTATCCTCTACCATTTGAATTATTTATTTATTTTTTTTTTCGGAAAGTAAGGTTTTATATAAAACTGTGCAAATGTACAAAAGGCCGAAGCCCCCAAACACAGCCCAAACAATATTGAGCCCAAGCCTATTCTAAGGCAAGATTACATGCAATCAGAAATTATCTAATTGTATACAGAATCAGTGGTTAGCCACCCACAGTCCGGTTTGTGGAAGAGGACGGCGACAGAGTAGATCAGAAATCATCCCGCCGATCACTGTCAAGAGAGGAAACCAAGAAGCTGATTTAACTCTGAGAGCAGCGGGAGACAGCGGACGAGACAGATTTGAATTATTGTTCCTAGCGTTTCATTAATTCAATTTTAGCAGTTATCATCGTTTTCTCAGCCTCATTTAATTCCACTTTAGTTTTATTTTATTGCAATTTGTTTTTCTTTTAAAAGTCCTGTTTTTATTCAAGGCAATTTGTTTTATCAAATTCTAGTCATGTTTTCTGGCTTTTACAATTGGACAAGTGAAATTGAATAAAATGATAAACATGGGTAAGAGTGTGAATAATAAAACTGGTTTAAGCTTTGTTAAAGGCTCATCTAGTAATCATGGTAAGCAGTTTTTGTGAAATCTGTTAATCATATTGTGACTAATCCTAGTTTGATTTATTCATCATTGCATTCTGATATGTCCTATGTATCAATATGTTGCACTACACTTTTTGTGGTAATAATGGACATAACCAACATTCATGTTTTCACAAGAAAAAAAAAAAAAATTCAGACTTTCATTCTCATGCGGTTCATGATAAGAATAGGGTGCATTCTAAAAAGAAAAATAATTTTGGTTCACCTAAAAATTTTATGGTTAGAAATTTGCCCAAGAAAGACATAAATTCTAAAAAATCTTTTCAAGAAGTGAGAGTGAAGACTATGTGGATCAAGAAAAAAGATTTAGTCAAGTACCAATTGAATCCTTGGAACTAGTTTCTAAAAGGACATTAGGTACAAAACCTTTAAACTAAGTCCTAGGGTAATTGAGTGATCATGGAATGTGTTGATTGAAAATTTTGTTGCCATTTAGATCACTTTTTAAGGCTAGGGTTTGGTTATAGTTTTGAGACTTTGATCATTTATTTTTTCATGACAATATATGTGAAAAATTCTTTCAGTTAAATTTATTATCTATTTGGGACACATGATGATTTGATAAAAATAGATTATTGGATTGTAATCTATACAATGAAAAATAACTTGCTTTAATTATGTGATTTTTAGATTTGAATCTCTTGAGTTCATATATTTTTGGTGTACTAGTCTATCTTTCAGAAAATTGATTGAAAATCATTGGATTTTTTACTAGGTTGTATTACTCATGAAAGTTATAAATGTTATTGTAATATATATATATATGAGCATGAAAATAAAAAATATATATAATAATATTCAGCATGAAGAAAAGAAAAAATTGAAATTGTTGAATTCTTTGTTGAGGAAAAGGTTACCTATTGAGTTTGGGTTGAAAACTCCCATTAGACTTTGAAGTGGAGTTATTTGAATAAAAAAAAAGGTGGAGACAAGTTGAAATGGAAAATTGTTGTCTGCTCTTTTGTAATGACCCGGTCATTTTCATTCCTTTCCTTTTTCTAAAATTTTACGGATTAATTTTTTCCGTTCAATTTTCTTTTCTCAGTTTGGTCACTCATCTCTTAGTGTCATCTCGAGTGCTTAGAAATGGTTTTCGAGACTCTTTCTTTGGACTGACAACTTCTTTTAAGGACTGAGTCATTTCCACTTTTCAATTTTTGAACACTATTCACTTTTCGTCCTTTTCCTGTTTGTCACTTTGTTGGCACAACTTCACTTTCCGTGTTCGGAGTTAAGTTTTGACTTCACGAGTTTTCATTCCAGTTGATTTCCTCGAAACGCGTAACTTTACTTTTGGAGAAAAGCTCGTCGATTATTTATTTCTCTTGTAGGGGCATGGATGAAAGGATTCTTCTGAAATATTGATATTTCTTTGGGGTGTTTTTCATAAATATCTTTTGGAGATATTTTGATCAGGGGTTTTTAAGAAAATATCTTTTGGGAGCCAGTTTTGCAATTATCCTTTTTGGAGGGGTATTGTGCAATTAATGAAAGTTATTGTAAAGTACCTCATTTTGAGCCTGAATTCTCGTACGGGATTTATTTTCACATTTCGTCAAGGCAGGAACTCTTAGAATTTTTGCACGGTCGTTTTTTTCAATTTTAGAGTTTTCGGCTCTAGTTACCGCCGAACTTATTCAGGGCATATCTTTCTACACGAGACTAGGTTTTCGACGTTGTTTCTTCCGTTATTCATTTTTTTTCATTTTGGTTCTTTTTCGTTCACGATGTTTTACCGTTTGAGCGCGTCTGCACAAATTCCACTTTTTCAGACCCGGGGGACCCGTTAGGGGCACTTTTTGAGATTTCTATAAATAGGGGGTCAAGAAAAATTAATTAGAATTTTTCCGCTTCTTCTCCCACGTTTCAGACCAGCCATTGCAGCCCAAGGGGCTGCTACCCTTCTTTCTTCTTTTCCACCTTCTTCCCCTTTGTAAAATGCCGTAGTGCCTTAACGTTTATCGTGGGTGTGATATCCCCGGATTTTCGGATACGGGTTGGCCAGGCCCACGCCCGATTACCCGGGGATATCAAACCAATTAGCAATAAATGAACACAGAATGTAGTTAAGATAAACAAGAACAAATAAAACTGCTGAAGCGAAACTAGAATGATAATCCAAAACTGAAAACCTCATAATAAAATTTTATTAATAAAGAATTAATCTGATACATCCAACTTCTCTAATTCTAATACATCTCGGGAATCCATCTCTAATGGACCCCTAATAATAATCCAAACTGAAATGAAAGCTACTTAAAGAACATCCAGAGTAAACGATGGAGAAAAGTCCTACGTCGTCGGAAGAGTGAGTAGTAGTTCTGCTCAGCACGATCAAGTCAAAGTCTGGAACTGATGAGTACCTGAAAAATAGAGGTGGGTTAGGCCCACGAACAAGTTCTAACTTACAACAATCCAAGCAGAGACTCGATACGCATATACATTCTAACCAACTCAACAATAGCTATTAGTCCGTATGTATGTATATTCACACTACAAGACTCTCACTGGACTATGGAGAGGGTCTCAACTAGAATAGAAGGCAACATGCGAAAATGCACCCATAGCTGGGCATGAGTACCTAGACCTAACAGGGTACACCTCAACCTCTCATATCTAGCTACGCATCCTACTGCATATACATACCCTAACCAACGAGTCTGAGACTCAAGCTAATCTCGTGGTACCATAAAAATATATTTAAAATCCTTTCATATCCATCCATAGGAAATCCAATAAATCTTTCAGCTTATTCAACTGCACAGACTTATAGAAGAGATCCAATAAGTCGTTCAGCTTATTCAACCGCACAGACTTATAGAAGAGATCCAATAAGTCGTTCAGCTTATTCGACCGCACAAACTTAAATATAAGGAGAATTATGTTTTTATAATTCGAACCCTTATTCCAAAATAGGTAGGACTGAGTATTTTGAATCAGTCTGTCCCTAGTATGCCACCGTCCCATGCCGGTTCATACAATCCACAAAATCCATATAACTGATAGAAAAGGTAAAGCTGTTTACCAATTAAAATCCATAAGGAAGGAATTAGCGTTTTGAGCTAAACCATACCTAGTATGTCACCGTCCCATACCGGTGCATACAATCCTCCATATCCATGTAAATTACAACATATAAATAATAAGTAAGTAATTTACAGTCCAAAACCAAATATCCATATCATTGCAGAAAAGTGATTAAAGTTTCAGCAATTTAAATCCAAGATCTAAACCATATAATTGCAAGAAATGGTTTAATAGTTCAACAACCAGCATCTAGAGCATGCATAGATCAGTT